TTGAAACTGTAATAATAAAATATTAAAACAATATTAATCAATATAAATGTGATGGTGATTATTATTATTATTATTATTATTTAAAAAAATAATATAAATGTGAGGTTTTTTAATATTATTAAAAAATATAAATGTGATTGTGATTATAATTTTTTATTAAAAAAAATAAATTGGTATAAATGTGATGGGGGTGATATTGATGATTATTATAATAAAAAATTACATAAAATTAATCAATATAAATAATGTGAAGAAGCCATCAATATCTAAATCATGATGTCCTATGAGGAATATCTCACAATAAAAAATAAAAAGGAGGGAAACAGTTTTATTCAATGAGCACTGATATGTTTTGGTATAAGCCATTTTATTTTTATAGTTGGTCAACTATATTTCTTAGTTGAGGAACTAGATGACTAAGAAATTTATTTCCAAATGGAAAGTTGAATGAGACCAAATTACCTTCCACTAGATTTAATAAAGTATTCATTTAGAAATTCCAAGAGAATTACCAAGTATAAGGATGGAAATATGAAGATAATCAAAGGGCAAAATGAATGAAACACTGTGAGTCAGAATGAGTGTGATAGTTTAAAAAATATTTAATATTTGGATTGGCTAACAAAACTTTTGTAATATTGCAAAATCATTTTATGTTACCAAGGCAAAATGATTAGAAAGCTCTGACATAAGTTGAAAATGTATATAAAAAAAATTAATCAATTAAAATCTCCTCATAGCCATCTATTAAGGGAAAAATTAAAATTAATTTTAAAAAGTTTCTTTAAATTGATTATTGAAATGTTTTTGCCAAATTCATTGTTACAGATGAAGGTGTTACATCCCTTGTGTTATGCAATAGATTAACATCAAGGTATTATCTATACAATAAAGATAAAATTAAAATATTGTAAGTTCAAGAAAATAAAAACAAATGAATCTCATACTTACTTCAGTGTCTTAAATAATAAGACTATGTTAATCTCAGGGTAATAGGTAAAGATTTCTTTTTAAAAAAACTAAATTGCTTACATTGATTCCAGCAATGAACTTTCAGTATTGTCATCTCCAGTCGACAAAGATTCCTTCAAGGTTGGTGAGCCTCTCTTTAGAATTACTTTGATTGACAATGTTTCATCAGTTATTACCAAAGTAAGCATTAACTGTAGAATAGTGTAATTCTGTTTAATAATTAAGGAATTTTTTTTTTTTTAGACAGATGTTTTTTTAAAAATGTATTTTTAAAACAGTGTCTCAATTTTTCATTGAAACCTTCTTGTATGCACTCTAGTAAAACCAACTGTACTTTGTACCTCGTTACCTGTTTGCCCTTTTCCTAACCAAAATTTGGTTTTGATTGGTCAGTGTATAGCTATTTTAGAGGATGTGATGTACTAATGAAACTTACAGAATTTTATATGTAGAGTTTTGTTCTTGTTGATAAACATAGTCAATAAAATTTGGGATAGTAGGTAGTATCCATTTCATACAGAAAATATGAAATGAGGTTATTTTTATTTACTTATTTCTTTTTTTTGGTAACAGCTGTACACTTTTGTATAAAAAAAGTTAAAAGGACAAAAAACTTTAAAAAAATAAGAGTAAAAATTTTTTCACTTAGAGTCATAAATAGAATCATGACTTCTTTTGGTGGAAAAGTCATCTTGACTATTTTAAAACTTGGGCTATCAAAAAGTATGTCAGTTGGGGGGAAAAACATGCTGGTAACAAAATATACAGTTGTATCTATTCACTTGTAAATTTAATTTGAGATTATTATCAGGTAATTTTAACATTTAAGTTTAATAAAAATTATTCACATGAGTTCAACAGAAAAAACATATGATCTTTCGTACAAGTTGTTTCAATCTAAGGCAAAAGTTAATACAATTTGTTCATTTGTAATTAATGCGTTTTAACAGAGGATGGAAAGTGCAACACTGAAATCCAAAGGCACATTGGTGTAGCAAAAGATGCCTTCCAAAAGCTAAGCAAAGTATTTAGAAATAGGAAAATTTTGTTAGAAACAAAGAAAAGAGTACTGAACTGTTATGTAATATCAGTCCATCTATATGGCACTGAATGCTGGACAATCTCCTGAAAGGTAAAGGTATTTTTTAGAGATATTTCTTTGCCACATGAGTAGATTGCAAGTATTTTCAGGGAATATTTGCAAAGAATCAACAGTCAGGAACAGGATTATACAGTTGATTCTGGCAAGTGCATACTTTTCTCAAAGACTGTTAGCAAGGAATATATTCCAGCTTCCCAGCACATTTACTATACATAATTGATCTTACCATTTATCAGAGACTTTATGTGAAGAGTAACTCTTATGAAAGTGAGGTGGAAAAGATGCCGTTATGACAAACTAGTTAGGAAGGAGAAATACAAAGAAAAGGTCTTGTGTTTATCTTTCTGAAGTAAAAACACATCTTCAAACTTGCAGGACCATTATTGCATATTTCTCTGTGGGAGAGAGTATATTGTATATAACTGTATCTTTGCTTGCCTGGTTTTGTGTCTGCTTCAACTAAAAAAATCTCATTTTTCATACCAGAGGAATTTATTATCTTTGAAAAAAAAAAAATGACTAATCAAGTAGACAATATGGAACACTGACGACTGTTCAGAATATTACACTCAATATTCAATATATGCTCTGACCCAAGATCGCATATAAATATGCACTTCAGCTGTGCATTTGTGTATTTTGTGGAGGAGCTTGTAGTTTCATAAGGAATGAGAATTATTCAGAGAGGACAAGTATTCATTTTGAGCAAATCTTTTTTCAGTGTAATAAAGTGCACACTTTTCTTTTTTTAATCATTTTACCCTAAACCAGGCAATAAAGCCACTAAGATGCATGGGAGGAGGGTATTGAGTGTGAAAGAATATAAGAAAAAGAAAAACAGTGAGAACAATAAAAGAACAGAAATTAAGAAGACATAAAGATTGACGTATTCAAACTTTTGAAGATCAAACTTGACTGGAAAGCAAGAAACCAGAAGAGAATTCCACAAGCAAGAAGCATGAGAAAATAACCTGTTAGCAAAGAACTTGCAGTTACATTTAGCAATTTCAACTGTAAAATGATGAGATCATGCTGCCAATCTAGTACTGCATTTAAATTTATAGTCTAGATATCATAGGAAAATTCATAGAACAACTACCATGAAAGTATTTACCAAAAAGACAAATGGAAGCTATATTATAGCAGTGGGAAAGTGACTGAAGCTGAGATGCCAGGTCATGTTTGGATTTTACTAAGGATTTCTAAATATATTACAGGAGCATCAAACCATATATGACAGAAATATTCAAAGTATATATGAATGGTAGATTTATAAATATGTAAGACAGATTTAGGTGTGAAAAAAATCATCTCGCACAATACAGTGAACAAATGTTCCTAGCAGCAGACCTAGAGATGATTCTCTTTTTAAATTCAAGTATAAAGGACTTAAAAATTTCAGAGATTTGGAGGTATGAAAGAATTTTACTTAAGTTTCTTTCCATGTATAAGCAATGTATTCCATGATGTGTAAGATGTTGATTAGCAATTACTTTTACTACATTTGTAGAACAAATAACAATGTAAACATTAAATTATGTTCCAAGTAATAGTATTGATAGTGTTTTGTGACATCATGCATACCTACAAGTTTACCATTCATCTATGCTTAAAATATTGCTGCCACATATAGTCTGGTGCCCCTGCTATTTACCTTAAGCTCCTTGATAAAATCCAAAGAATAATCAGCAATATTACAGGTTCTGATATGACAGCTCAGCTTTAGTCACTTTACTACCATAATAAGGTTGCCTCTCTGTGCATTTTCTATGAAATACTTTCATGGTAATTGTTCATATGAGCTCTTTGCTATGGTACCTAGACTTTTTGAATTGGATCGCAGTACTAGACCCGCATTGAGATCTCAACAATTTACAGTTGAGCTGACTAGATGTAACCATCAATTCTACACTAACAGTTTCTTTGTTTGTGGAACGCCCTTCCGACTACATTTTTTCCAGCCAATTTTTATCTGCAAAAATATAAATGAATTGTCAATCACTATCTACTGTTCTTCTGATTACTCTTTTCTCTTCCTGTTCATTCGTGATGTTTCCTTTCATAATTCTTCCACACCCAATAACTCCTTGTGTCTTCGTGGTTTTACTGTCTTGCTTGGGGTGAAGCTGATTAAAAAAAAAAAAATCTGTCTATATATTATGTTGAGTCATATCATTTGTTATATTTTCAAGAATTAAGTAAATAAACAAAAATAGAAATTATTTATAACTCAATCTAATACATACCATCATATTACACAGTATATTTACATGAACAATCTACTTGCATAGATTAAAGAAAAGGTTTATTTTAAAAATCTCCGAAATTCATAAACCTGAAGAAGGCAGGAGGGCACAACAGCTGAATCATTGTGATAATAACAACAACAAAGATGAGGATATTAGTCCAAACGTAAATAATAAATAGTTCTAATTTATACATCTGCTATATATATAGTGAATTATGAGAAAATACTTACAGGGAGAGTCAGATCCCAAAATAAAAAAAATATCAGGGTCATAATTCCAAAGGTCATAAATCAGTCTCACACTCAAAAATGCTAGGGACATAAATCAAAATGAGTAAAAAAAAATCGTATACACAATTGTCAAAACTTTCACCCATGAAGAACCAAGAAATCTGCTGTCATCCAAAGTAGTGTCCATTTATTAGAGTAAGAAAAGCTGTAATTGGTCAAGACTGATGAGCAAGCGTCAAATTATTTTTCAGTATTATCTCCTTCTTTGTCACATAATATTATCTAGATTTAACATTATACATGGAAAATTTTAGATCAAAATTTAGCCAATCAGGCTGTAGATTTACTGATCCACCCTCATAAACATATATTTCTGTTTGTATAGTGAATTGAGCTTTCACAAGTATCTCACTATTACACATTGTGCCCCAAAAAGCTAGGCCTATG